ACTGAACTAATTATTAGCAGAGATTAGTCAGGCATGTGTGAGATGCTGCCCTCTCGTGGACATTTATTGAACTTCTCTTCTTACCCCTCATACTTGCTGCAGGAGACCCAGAAGCATGACATTCCTTGGGAAAGCCCACCTTCCCTCTATTTAAGCTTTCTCAGGTTTGAGGATAAGAACCTCAACATGTGCTTCACTGTCTCCCCAAGTTTTTCTGAGTAAACTGGTTTTAATATCAAGCACATTGAGATTTGCCACTGTGGCTTAGGGATTTCATAGTTATAAGAAGAGAAAACACAAAATTGTTTGGTTTCCCCAAGATTTGCAAAACTTTTACCCCAATTTAACACTTACTATTATGACACAATTTATGCAAAAAAAAAAAAAAGTGAAGCTTGAAGTGTGTCTTAACCAGTCTTGTGGCTGTGAAAGTAGAAAACCTACCTTTAACACAAATTAATATATAGCCCAGTGGACTGCTGAAGTGGTAAGGAGCCTTTCTCTGAAGTTAAAAGCCATCTCCCTCCTTTGCATTGACAGATGCCACAAGATGGAAGCAGCAGGGAGGATGTAACCTCAGGGTCCTGAACCAGTAGCCAACTGGTCCAGAGGGTCTCAGCCCAGCATGCTGATGTGCTTGTCCCGCCCCCAGGCCACCTCACACCACGTTAATCAGAATCTCTGAGTGAGAAGAGGTCAGGCATCAGCATCATTTTGACAAAAAGTTCCTGCAGGTGCCCCTAATAAGTCCAATCACCTCCTTTTATGCATGAGAAAATCGAGGCCTACAGAGGGCAGGTTGCTTGACCAAGGTCCCGCAGCTAGTTAGTAGAGAAACTCTGAGCAGACTGTGAAAGCCTAAAAGACTTGAATTCAGTTTTGAAGTTTTGAGTTAGTTCTTGTGTGATTCTGTGGTGTTATAGTCGGTCAGGCCTAGAAGTGACAGAAGGGCTCCTTTCCTCTTAGATGCTTGTCTGTCTTCCCTCCCTGCTCTTTATCCTCCCACCCGAGTCCCTCCTGCCTCCCAGGCACCCTTGCAGTGCCTCCTTGAACATGCCACCCAGGCCAGCTCTCCTGAGCCTCGTCCCAATGCCTTGTGTTACATCATGAGCCACAGATGGGTCCTTTGGTTGTTGATTTCTTTACTGCAGGCTGAGACCAGACCTGTTAGCTCAAAAACCCACCACTTAGAGCCTGCCTGCTTTGCGTAACCCATGACACTGTGCCCAATATCTGCTAGCCGTGGATAAGCCCCAGGCCCTCAAGGCCCACAAAAGGCTGCTGCCCTTTGGAGCTCTGTGACCCAAAGATTCCCCTCTGTGCTGGTGAAGGACATCACCTAGGCACATAGCCCCCTTTCCAATCCCCTTCCTCCCTGGGAGTACCCTTGCCCTCCCCCATTTCTGAGTAGGACCCCGCCTCCACGCTGTGGCCTCTGGACAGACTCCTGCTGTGAGTGACCTCCCGCAATGCAACCTGTCAACGTATTGCCCAGTAAAGCTTGTGTGTGCTACTGCCACCTAGTGGTCATATCTTTTTCCTTGCTCAACCCCCAAATCCTTCAAACCCCTTCTTCCTGGGCCTGATTCTTTTTCTAGGCCTTTTTCAAAATTTCCCTGGTCTGAGTCCCCAGTCTTCTCAATTTATTGGCCAATCTAGTGAATAAATCTCTATTGATATATCAATGGCCAATTCATTTATTCACCAACTATTTATTGAGTGCCCAGCATATGCCAAGCATTGTTCTAGGCAGTTGGGATATATCTTAGAACAAAACAGATGAAAATTTCTGCATGTGCTGAGCTGACACAGTCTAGCAAGATGATGATGGTTTAAAGCTGTTCTTGGGAATATTTTACAGAACACTTCAAGCCAAAGTAAGGAAGTGTTAAGAGGGGGAGTTTTTGGTATTGAAAATGAGCTAGTGGGATGGAAAATAAGGACATGGGTTGGGTTTATAATTATGATAATCACTTTTTAAAATATGCCAGGGCTTACACACTGTGCAAGTGCTTCATTTTAAAGCCGTGCTTCTCAAGCATTCGCCTGCATGGGATCACCTAGATAGCTGGTTGAGATGAAGATCCTGAGTGGTGCTGATAACACCCAGGTCCAGGGTTCGGTCCCTGGACCAGCCAGCTGCCCAAAAAGAAAAAAAAGGTGAAGATCCTAAGGCAGTAAGTCTGGCATGAGGCCTGGGAGCCTGCATTTTAACTCCCAAATAATGCTGATGCTGCTGATCCGTGGATCACACTTGGACAACAAGGTTTTAAAGCAGGTTCCTTTGAGCACTGACTCTCCCGGGACTAACAATAGTAATAGTAATATTACTACTTACCGCAGAAGGATATTGCAAAGACTAAATGAGGTGACTCAGCCCTGTGCATTAGCTGTTATCTGCATTTAGAGATGAGGAAACTGAGGCTCCCAGACTTTAACTCATCCGTGAGCTTATGGTGCAAACAGGAAAGCCAGGACGTGACTGCACAGTTGCAGAACTCATTTGCGTGGCTGTTTTTCTGCCTTGCCTGTCACTAACCTGTAACCCACGCCTGCCCTGGTTTGCATGAAGTGTCTGAGCCTGGGGTTTCACTTTCTGTAACATGAGGGGAGGGCACACGCAGAGCCTCACGAGTTAGCAGCCCTTGTTACCTTAAGCCTCGACAGGCTTTCTGCCTTGCAGCTCCTCCTTTTACCAGGGTTGAAAATATCAACCATAGGTGCTCTTTTACCACCTGCGTCATTTCATTTCATCCCTGGATTGCCCACATGGGGCAGGTGCGGCTACAGGAGGAAGAGTGAGCTTGGAGATGTTGGGAGACCTCGTTTGTCAGAGAATCCCAGACCAGAAAAAGACCTTAAACATTTTCTCCAGTCCACTGTCTTTTAACCTGCTTAATTTAGTTTGTTTTTAGCAGTGAAATCTCCTTAACAAAATCCTATTGAAAGTCCTGTTTGTAAAGCAGAGAAAAGCAGCTTTTAAGGTATGGAGCCTGGTCCCCTTTTGGGGGGTCCCCATTTCCAGGGACCTCAAGGAGGGGTCTGAGGAGCTCTGTTTGGAAAAACTCCATCTAAGTCAACACTCTCCTTGAACAAATGAGGAACAGACCTCAAGGAGGGAGGTGTCTTAGCCAAAATCAAGCAACAGGCTCACAGCCCAGCTGAGGCCTGACTCTAGGACTCCAGAGACCAAACCCAGAACTGCAGGGAACCTGCGCAGGAGGAAGGGCTGTGCTCTGCTCACCTGCCTCTGCTGGCTGAGGTTTGTTTGAAAATCCATCGTTCTTACGGTCTCGCACTCCCACCATACAGGGCCAAACTCAATCCTCCACCTGTAAATCTCATAATCTCCCAGACACCCTTCCCTCAAGCCCCAGAGGACAAGACTTTTTATTTTTTACATATTTCAAAATTGTGAAATAAAACATACATACAGAAAACTGCCTAACCACATCCATGCCAAGAAATTGGATGCTGCCGTTGCCAGGACCCTAAAAGCTCCCAGTGCTTCTGCCCACCCTTCCCCTCCCGGGCTGGTCACACCCGGCTTGCAGAGAGAGCGCCCCCTTGCTGCCCTCTCCCTTTGCACCATCTGTCTCTGCATCCCTCCCGCCATGGCTCAGAGTTGCCCTTTTGAGCTTTGTAGAGGTAGAATCGCGAGCTATGCAGGCTTTGTGATTCCTGTACCCCACATCATGTTTGTAAGTTCATCGGTTTTGTTGGGTGCAGCCAGCTGTGGTTCATTCATTTTCTTTGCTGCTGAGTGTTGTTGGCTTGCCTGCAGATGCACGATTTCTGTGTTTGCTCTTCCAAGGCGGGAGTTTGGGCTGTTTCCAGTTAAGGGCTATTGTGGACAATGCTGCTCCACACTTTCCTGGAAGGGAGATTTGCTGTCATGTTACCCAGGGAGAGAGAGGCCCCAGGAGGAAAAGGATTCTTGGGGGAGAGGGGTCCAGGCCTGGGCCCCAGGAGAGAAAGACCTGTTGTCCTCCCCATTGTCCCAGCCCTCTATGCCCCAGGTGCAGTGAGACCACAGACACAGAGGCAAAATAGGTGAGTTTCCAAGGTTTTATTGTTAAATAGCTGCAGTCACAGGGAGGAAGGAACTTCCCACCCAACACATACAACACACATTCATCGAGCACCTGCAAGGGCTGGGCCTGCTCCCCGGGGCTCACTGTCTGGTGCAGGAGACAGACAGGCACAGCCACCTCTCACACAAGCTCAAAGTGTCAGGACTGCCAAATGCTCAGGGAGCGATTCACTCCTCTGGGAGCCACATGTGCATGTGTGTGGTGATTTGGGAGCTGGGGGACCTTTGGTGGCAGGGAAAGGACCACAGGCAGCTGTAAAAGGTCTGGAGTGGAGATGGTGTCTGGGGCCCAGGCAGTGAGGCCCAGATTATGGGAAGGTTTCAAAAAGGAAAAAAATTAGGGGGCCGACATAGCACACTAACTTTTCATTTTTACACATTAGGACATTACAAAAAGAAGAAAGGAAAAGCTCCCACCTACTTCTCACTTTCGCCATCTTTTCACAAGCCCAGGAATATTTTAACTCCTAAACCCCTTTGGAATGAACATAATCTCCAAATGAAAGACTCTCTTCCACACTGAATAAAGTTGTCTCGATAAAAAAAATACCACAAAATCCTCATTTTCCATTTTTCCACAGACTCTTAAAAACTTCCCCATGGAACAGCATCAGTGTGTAGAACTGGGTGCAGCAGCCACTTGGTGGGGGGCCAGTGAGTGCCTGATGGATCTGGGGCATCCACACGTGGGGCGCAGGAGTGGGGGAAGCAGAGGGTGTCCAGGCTGGGCAGGGCCAGGATGACATCCTGAATGTGGAGGTGACCATGGAGGGCTGTGAGCAGGGGGCTGCCGTGTTCTGCCCTGCACTTTAGAAAGACCATTCTGGAGGCAGCATGGAGACTGGGTCAAGGGAGGCAGCTGGAGACAGAGTCCTGTTTCCAGGGCTCTGCTGACCCCTTCCAAGGGTCCAGCCCACAAAGGCTGCTCATCAGAGACCCAAGCTGGCCAGGAGCCCCAGGCAGGGGTGGGGAGGCAGGCCCCAGACTTATCCGTGAGCTGGGGTGGGGCCGGGCAGGTCTGGACAGTGCTACTGGTCCTGTTGGAAGTAGAACTTGGTGACCGTCGTGGGTTCTTCGGGCTTGTTGGTGATGCCGACGGGCCGATCAGCTTCCAGCGCCGTGCAGAGGAACCAGCCCGGGCAGGCGGCTGACTCAAAGCTGGTGGTGGGGCCGTTCTCTGAGCAGATGAAGGTGAAGCGCTTGTCCTGCTCCTTGTCCTTGTTCAGGTCCGTGATGTTAACCGCCTGGAAGCCGAGAGAGGGGCAGGTGATTGCTGAGGGCCTGGGGAGTCCTGCACTGCCGCCTCTCTGTGCCCCTGGCCGCCACCAGGCCCTCAGGCCAGCTCAGAGGAAGTGCTAGAGAAATACTGGCCTGGAGTCCCGGGTCGCTTAGAACAGCACTGATACAAAGAGGCTGTCCTATTGTCACATCTTGACTTGGGGAAATCTGGCCACTCTGGTCATGGGCCAGTAAGTCTGGCAAACACGTGGCTCCATCAGCAGAGGCCAAGGACTCTGGAGGCTGCTTCTCTGTCAGGGTCTGAGCCCTGAGGGGGGGAGGGGGGGAGAAGGTGGGCAGAGAGCATCGCAGCTCATTTGACGGGTTACACGCAATACCTCGGCCACCCCTACTCCACACGGAATGGCAGTCACCCTCCAAAAATGTGTCCCTGCCTGCTGGTGGAGGAAAGTGGCCGCAGTTATAGCCGTTCACATTGGGGTTAAGATCTCACCCAACAAGCCCCTGAGACAAAGCTGTCTTTTCCCAGGGCTGGGCAGCCTGTTAATATCATGTGGGATCAAGGAGTATGGAGCCCTGCATGGGCTGCCGACTAATCAACTTGAGTAGATAAAGATTGGAAGAAAAAGGTCCTGAGGGTTGGCTTTACTAGAAGAGGGCGGATCCAAGTGGGTTGGGGACCCCGGAGCAAGAGAATGTCACACGGTGATTCAGGTCCTGTGCCAGGCTTACAGTGGTGGCCTCCTAGAGTTCACACCCCTGTGCACTGCCCTCACACTGAGTCTAGACTTAGCCAAGTGCCTGGCTTTGGCCAACAGGATGATGCAAGCAGAAGTTTGATAAGCGCTCGCACATCAAGCCTTGTCTCTTTGGAATAGTCCCTCTTGGAAGCCATCCGTCATGCTGTGAGGAAGCTCAGGCTGACCACTGACTGAGACCACATGGACAGAGAGCCTGGAGGATACCCCAGGGCCAGCCATGTGCCCTGCTGAGTGCAGCTGCAAGACTGAGCCCAGTGTGTTCCACCATGTGGAATAGAACTGCCTGGCAAATCCTAGTCCACCCACAGAGTTGCAAGAAAGAACACATTGCAGATGTTTTAAGCCACTGAGTTTTGGGTGGTTTGATAATGAAATGGGTCCTTACCTCCAGCTGGAGCCTGGTCTCATCCCCAGACTTGACACAGGACAGGCTCAGCTTCCCTTCGTGGATCCCCAGGAACACAACGTGAGGATCAATGGGCACCACATCTATCTTTTCTGGGGAATTGCAGAGGGGAGGGTCCAGTTAGCAGAGAAAAGAGGAGGCAGAGAAGGTCAAGAGACCCTGGGTGTTTCCCGCCCCTGCCCCAGCTAAAGCCCCAGGTCAGAAGGACAGCAAGTCCTCATCTCCCTGGTGGGCATCACGTCGAGCCAAGCACACTACCGTGTTCCTCCCACAGGACCGAGTCCCCTGGATTCTGCACCCCGTGATCTTTCCCCTTCCTCACTTATGGCACAGGATAGCTGTGTCCAGGTGGACAGGAGTAGTGCTGGTGGGCAGGGAAAACAGCACGGGAGGTCACTGTCAGCCTCCACGGAAGCCTGGGGGCCTTCGAACCCACCCTTTCCCCTTAGTAGTCTCCACACCCTCATGCAGCAATAAAAATCCCAGCCACCCTGTACTTCAGCGTGTTCGTTAGGAGAATCACCAGGACAGGAAAAGGAGGCATGTACGCTCTTGGGGCAAGGCAGGGGGAGAGAACAAGGGAATGGGGAAGGCGGGGATGTGGAGATCATGCCACGCTATAATGCCAAACGGGGAGGTGAAACCATCTCAGAACGCCCATGTTAAAAGCACCTCCCGGGGCCAGCCCGGTGGCGCACTGCTACAGTGCGCCGCTTGGGAGTACGGTGGCGCTCCCGCCGAGGGTTCGGATCCCACATACAGACCGGTTCCCGCTCACCGGCTGAGCAAGTTGCGGGCGCAACACCGAGGGTTGCGATCCCGTTGCCGGTCATGAAAAAAGACAAAAAGGAAAAAAAAAAAAAAAGCACCTCCCATCATCCAACTGCCCTCTTCTTACTAAAGGGGAAACTGAGGAATGTGGTGGGTGAAGCTTGTCCGTGTTCATCCAGCTTGTTTAGAGCACAGACCAGAATATGACTAACTACGGTGTCCATGATCAAGGAACAAAGCCCAGCCCTATATGTGGTGTGTTAATCTGGAGTGGGGTTAGGGTTTGAACAACACAGGAACATGGGCGGCTTCATAGGCACAGGAGGAAGGGAAGGGTCCAGCAAGTCTTCTGGTCTCTGCTCCTGCCAGCGGTGGCCCTGGGACCCCTGTGCCTATAGGTGGGGGCTCCTGACCTGGACTCTACCTCTCCCCACCTTCTTGAGGCTGCCCTCATATGTACCCTCGAGTGGCCAGGCCTCCCCAGGCTCAGACTGGGAACAAAGACCCTGCACCTAAGGTTTGTGGAAGCAGACCATGATTCTGCAGACCCCAGGGGCAAAGTGACCTGATGCCCACACAACACTGGCTTTCCTGGCAATCATTCACCTTCTAATTTAGTATTTGGTCCTTGCAAGTATCCAGCAATCAGTTGGTTGTTCCTCAGGTAGAAGGTCTTCTGGTTAATGTCCCAGATTCTGAAAAACAAAAGGAATTAGCTGGACTGGACAGTCACTGTGTGCCTGGTCCTGTGCTTAGCACCATCCTGCGTTCCCTAGAGCTCACCGAATCTACATCTGGCTCTGCCAGGGGTGTGGTATGTTAGTGCACCCATGGCACAGATGAGAAGACTGAGGCCCACACTGGTTAAGAGACCGGCCTGACACGCAGCTGGCGAGCAGAGAGCCCATGTTCTACCCCTCTCCTCGCCTTGCTCCTCACTGCAGACTCTCGGGGGAGGCACCCTCTGGGACAAAGCACGCTCTGGGACAGAGCAACAGAACTTTCTGGTTTGCAGAAATCTTCTCTATCCACCCTGTCCAATATGGTAGCCACTGGCCACATGTGGCTACTGAGCTCTTGAACTGTGGGTAGTCAAGGATCTGAATTTTAAATTTTCTTCTATTTTCATTCATTTAAATGTAAATTTAAATAGCCCCCTGAGACTAGCTAACTCACTCCCAGCCTAGGACTGGGAGGGTCTGTCCCTAGAGTCTTTCCTCCATCAGCCAGTGACCTGCTTTGGGTCAGCAGGAGCAGCCGTCCCTGGGAATGAGCCAGCTTCCTCTCGAGCTCACCCAGTGACCTGTTTGTGGCTCCTAATCCTTCTTCTCAGTGAAGGGTGCCTCTAGCTGAGAGCGGGCCTGGCAGCTGTAAGATGTGGTACACAGCCTGGCCAGGTGACCTCAGACCTGTGCCTCATCCCCTCACCCTCCAAGTGTGGCTAACTGCACCCGTCTCATCAGGTGGCGTTGAGGGGCCCATGAGCTCGAGGAGGGGTGGTCAGGCACACCGAAACACTTTGCATGTGTGAGCGTTTGACGTCCGGTGATCATCTCCTGGATAAGTCTCGGTTTGGAGGTATTAAGCATCTCCTGCCAGGGGTCTCCAGGGGCATCTCTTGGAGCTCCCAGCTGATAAGAGGAGGCCAAGGTAAACCGGGAAGCGGACAGTTCCCACGTCAGGGAAAGGAGGCCCCCGTCCTGGGCATGCACACGCTCACACTCACACTCACACTCGAGTTTCAACCTGTAGCCTCAGGTCAGAAAAACATAGAGGTCAAGGGGGAAGCCACCCCAACCTGACTTCACTCGTGGGAATCACAGGGCAGAGGGCACACGTGGGCAGCACTCCCATGCTTGTCAGCATCACAGCCTGTCATTTTCGCAGCTGTGGCTGTGATGTCTCACAAAGCCCCGACCCAAGTTTTAAAATCGCGAAAGTTTCCCAGCACTTTACGGTTCACAAAACACTGTTACACTATTATCTGTGCATTTAATCTTCACAGCTTGCAGTGAGATCTCACGGCTCCCATGTAACAGATGGAGAAACTGAGGCCCCAGGAGACTGGGATCCTCCAGTGTGTCGACAAGGCAGGCATAGCCCACAGTCAGCCTGGGCCTGGAGGCTGGGCCCCGCCTGTGGTGCCCCCTCTGTTCTCTACCCAGCACACTCTGCCACTCCTGAACCGCAGCAGTACTCCTCAGTGTGTCTGTCACCTGCTGAGCTGCCACAGTCTCTGGGATGGTAACCAGGCCTGTGGTCCTGCTCTCCACATCTGGGATATTTTTAAATATGAGCCCCTAAGACTGTGCATGTGGCAGCCCTTTTTTAAATGGACATCTCTTCCCAGCCCAAACCCAGTTCTCAGACCCCACAGAGCCGGCAGCCCCAGGAGGCTGTGACGTGTCACCAACTTCCAGCCGTCAACCCCCAAGTCCTTGGGGCAGCCTTACCTGAAGGTTTGCATCTTGTAGGGTCTCTTTCCGGAGGGGTGGCAGATTGCATCTGAATGGAAGAGGAAGAGGAGGAGAGAGATTAGGTAGCTGCGGGAGCCCCTGCAGATTTCCATCGTGCAGCTACAGCCCGGTGGAGGACAGTGCCATGTCAGGGCCAGAGTCGCTGCTTATAAAGAAAGTAGTCACTCACCCAACTAGGCAGCTGCCACCCTGTCCCATTCTGAGACACGGAAATACCCTCACATTTCCAAAAAGAGAAACCCTTGCTGTTGTCACTTTCAACCCTGCCGAGTGTCGCAATGAGGTGTTGTAACCGACTCCCTCCCCCTTTTCCCCTATGCAATTTCCCCAAAGTTGAGATTTCTATTTCCCCTTCATTGAGTCCCTGGGAAGAAGAGCCCAACGAAAACCAAACTCCCTCATTTGCCTGACAGGTACCCTCAGGCTGTTGATTTTTTAAAAAATGGATTTGAGCAAAAATGTCCCCCTTTCATAATAAAGCCCAGTGAGGGGGCTCCCAGCCCTTGGGCAGTCTTGTGTCTGAAGAAGGGACAGTGTTGGTCTCTGGACCATGGACTGGCAAACACTCTGCAAAGGACCAGATAGAAAATATTTCAGGCTTTGTGGGCCATTCATTTTCTGCCACAATTACTGAACATGACTGTTGTGGTGCAAAAAACAGCCATAGCCGATCTGTAAACCAATGAGCCTAACTGTGTTGCAATACAACTTTGTTTACAAAAACAGAGTGGACCGGATTTGCCCTGAAGTCTGCTGACCCCTGCTCTAGAGAAAAGTGAAATCTCCTCAAGAGGAGCTTTCAAACCAACTCTCTTGCCGTTATCCCACATCTTTAAAGTTATAGTCTCAGAAGAACAGAGTGAACTCAGCACTTGGACAGAAAGGCGTCCAGAATCCACCTCTGCCACTTGCCATTTAACACCAGTGTGACCTTGAACAAGTCACTTTACTGATTTGGGCTTCTGCCTCCTCTTTCTCAGAATCAGGGTGATCATGTCTTCCTCACAGGTGGAGAGAAGGAAGGAAAGGAGGGATGGAGGGAGGGGGAAAGATCCCGGTCCATAGTGGGCCCTACACGTTAACTTCCTTCCGTACAGTATTCTACCCAGGGAAAAGGTAAGCATACTCTCATCTGTGGATAGAAAAGTCAAAGAGGGTTTCCGCACCATCCATGTGATGGGCAGTACAAGAGCAGAAGCGGATTTTGTAGTGTTTTACAGCTAGACGGGTACCCAGCAATCATCCTATTCCACCTTGGCATGGTTTTCAAGAAGATCCAGAAAGACCCAGAAAGGGGAAGGGACCTGATCACGGTCACACAGCTTGTTAATGCCAAAGGGTCGCCCAGACACCCAGGTCTCCAGCCCCAGCATCCTCCTGCAACGACAGTTGATCTTGATGAGTTTGACTTTACTTTCAATGAACAAATCAGAGTCTGTGTCTAAATAAGGGTTAAATCCTTCAGAGGAAGAAGGCTACAGATGAATTCCCCACGTCTTTAAAGAGCTTGTCTTTCAGAGCGAATGGAACATTTCTGCAAATATCATATCACCTCCCTGGGTGGTTGCTTTGACAGCCAACATGGCACGTACGTGTTCCTGCACTGTCCTCACAACTCTGTGACCCTGAGTGAGTCATTCACCCTTTTTGAAACACATTTGACAAATAACATACCCCTTTGAGGGCAAGGGGGCGTTTTGTTTCTTCATTTCTGTGTTTGTTTTTGTGAGAGCTGGGGAAGGAGGCAATGTGTCTGAACCTGCTTAGTTATTTGCCACTTCCATAATCTGAAGAATTAGGGTTTAAAATTTCTGGAACATTTATTAATCAGCAGATGCATAACTTTGTCAACACCTCTGCTGAAGGGGAAGGCAGCTAGTATNTACTGAACATGACTGTTGTGGTGCAAAAAACAGCCATAGCCGATCTGTAAACCAATGAGCCTAACTGTGTTGCAATACAACTTTGTTTACAAAAACAGAGTGGACCGGATTTGCCCTGAAGTCTGCTGACCCCTGCTCTAGAGAAAAGTGAAATCTCCTCAAGAGGAGCTTTCAAACCAACTCTCTTGCCGTTATCCCACATCTTTAAAGTTATAGTCTCAGAAGAACAGAGTGAACTCAGCACTTGGACAGAAAGGCGTCCAGAATCCACCTCTGCCACTTGCCATTTAACACCAGTGTGACCTTGAACAAGTCACTTTACTGATTTGGGCTTCTGCCTCCTCTTTCTCAGAATCAGGGTGATCATGTCTTCCTCACAGGTGGAGAGAAGGAAGGAAAGGAGGGATGGAGGGAGGGGGAAAGATCCCGGTCCATAGTGGGCCCTACACGTTAACTTCCTTCCGTACAGTATTCTACCCAGGGAAAAGGTAAGCATACTCTCATCTGTGGATAGAAAAGTCAAAGAGGGTTTCCGCACCATCCATGTGATGGGCAGTACAAGAGCAGAAGCGGATTTTGTAGTGTTTTACAGCTAGACGGGTACCCAGCAATCATCCTATTCCACCTTGGCATGGTTTTCAAGAAGATCCAGAAAGACCCAGAAAGGGGAAGGGACCTGATCATGGTCACACAGCTTGTTAATGCCAAAGGGTTGCCCAGACACCCAGGTCTCTAGCCCCAGCGTCATCCTGCAACGACAGTTGATCTTGATGAGTTTGACTTTACTTTCAATGAACAAATCAGAGTCTGTGTCTAAATAAGGGTTAAAGGGCCGGCCCGGTGGCGCACTGCTACAGTGCGCTGCTTGGGAGCGCGGCGGCGCTCCCGCCGAGGGTTCGGATCCCACATACAGACTGGCCACTCACTGGCTGAGCGAGGTGCGGGAGCAACACCGAGGGTTGCGATCCGTTGCCGGACACGAAAAAAGACAAAAAGGAAAAAATAAATAAATAAATAAATACATAAATAAA